TGCTTATATACCTAATTTTGAAAATCAGTTAAATAAGCTGATATACCAAATGTATTGCCATAGTTTGGCAGAGAAAAGTATAACATATCAGTTTTTTATTCTTTAGTGAACAAGTTATAAATGAATGAGAAATGTATGTTTTAAAATGCTTTCTTGACTAAGATTTATAAAATATGTGATAGTTGATTTGGTGAAATGCTTGTTCAAAGAGACTGAAATTTATCTTCTAATCTTCTGTCTTCTAATTCCGTGATTGTAAATAGATTTTGAACCAAATTTACTCCAGTGTAATTTGTTCAGTTGAAGCGAAATACAAATTTGGCTGACCTAGGGACACAGCTATGTTTTCTTTCCTCTGAGCAATATTCAGGACATTTTTCATATATACAGGTGAAGATACATTAACATTCAAAATAAATTGGCTGAACAAGATACAATGAACATATTAAAATTAGGAAGTATGCTAAAAAATACTGTAGCCTTTCCAAGACTACTGATTTATGAATATGGGTGATGTAAATAATTGTGAATAATTTAGGCTGCAGTTCTCTACCCACTTGATCAGATAATATAAAAAGAAAAATGTCCTTTGTGTTTTAATGAGCAACCTGTTTTGCTAACATTCCTGTGTGTGTGTGTGTAAAATAGTGCTAACTTTTTTCTTTCACAAATCATCAGAACATTTGGGATAGCCATGCTTTCCATCAGTGATCGTACAGCCTTAACTAGCAACTAAATAACTTTAATTTATTTACTTGTCTGATTTAGTCAGAGTCCTTTTATTCTCTCTCTAAAGGTACACTACCCTTGATCTTAGCCAAAAGGCCAAGAAGCAATACTATAGACTTCTGTTCTTGATGCTGGATGAAGTAGTCTTTTAAGAGCTGCCCTCAGGTGTACCATTCAACTCAACAGAAAATTCCTAATTGTCTGGACTGTGTAGCACTTTGAAGGCAAAAAAAAAAAAAAGTGCTTCAGAGCACATGTTGGTGTTCATTTGCATCTTTTTAAACCAAGTACACCTTTTCCTGGGATCTTTCTGGCGTTGTGGAGTGGAGCTACATCATCTTGGGAAAAGACACAGCTACTTTAAGGAGTTCTCAATAAGTGCTACGTGACTACTTTGTATGCCTCAAAGGACTTTTTTCCCTTCAAATCCAAGGTGCTGCATAGTCCTAAAAATTATGCCATCTTTGGAAACTTAACTGCATACTTTATCTGCCTTATTTATTAAAAATATTAAATAATTTTAGTAGAAAAACAGTAGAGCTATAAGGAGAATAAACTGTTATTAATATGCAAATCATGCAAGGGCTAGGATTGCTGTTATGTCCACAATAAATATCCATTTGAAAGTCATGCTTAAATAGGTTCATAGCTAACAAAAATGTTACAGTAACATTTTTGACACAGTTATGCGTAGTCTAGGATAACAGTGAGCAGACTCTTATCTAAGAAAATAGTTTTTGAAACGTGAAGCAATATTCAAACAAAATTATTATTCCCAATACTAGTAATTGTCATCATTAAAATTAGTACAATCAATAATGTTTTGTGGCAGAATTGTGCCATAATTATTATTGTTTTTACTAAATCATTACTTTATTCTTTGCTTTCATTTCTAATGGAGATTTCCACCTCATGTATGTTCTGTCTCCATGTTCCAAAGACTATAGTATGAGATACATGGCTTAGGAACATGTATCTAACACATTATCTAAATTTGTTAGTTTTTACATTTACATTTACCCATGGTAAAATGTATGTTATTTAATAGGTGATCTTGGAAACTCTTGAACTGGATGGGAATCTTCTTGTGCAGCACAACTCATTCTAAACTCTCCACATTGTTAAGCTACCTCAGAGAACAAGAGAGCCATTTAGAGCATATTCTACATAATTAACACCTTTCACCCACTGAACGCTATGCTGTTTGGAGGGTTTCCTTTCCTGTCTTCATACAGGTGCACAGTATCTGTCTGCAGCTTTTTTAAGCTGCTTCGTGATCTTGAAAAAAGATGAATTTGATTTAAGAAGTTGCAGACAGGTACCACATAAACATCTTTTTGTTTATGAATGTGAAGTGCTGTGCAGTCCTAATAATTATTGCCTAGCAGAAAAATTCCTGTGCATTTGTTCCTATCAATTCTCATTCTATTTTATGAAAGAGAATGTACTTATAGTTGGAATTTGTTAAAAGGAGGCCTAAGGGTAGGTGTGATTGTCCTATCTTTTATTATACAATCATCTTTTTTAGCATTCCGCAGCCTCTCTGGCTTCCCATATTTCAGAATGGGAAGTAGAGGAAACTTTTTAAAAGTAGTGTTGCTACTGTCATTGCGACAGTGGAGTCTTTCCCTTGAGAAATGGTTGGAGATGTCTCCATCCCTGGAGAAATTCAGAGAAATTGTTCACCCAATTTCTTTGCCCACAAGAATTTCAAAAGAGCATTTGTGCCCACCTCTAATTATAATTACAAAGTCTTATCTGCCTGGAGACATGTAAGTAATGGCTGATTTTAGTCAAAAACTTATGAGAAGTCATTTTTTCCTATAGATTGGAGGAGATACCTATGTGAATTCTTAGTATTTTCTTTCCTCTCTGAATTTTTTACCTTCTGGAGATGGCTATCTAAATACCTTCTGCTTTACAATATGCCTTAAAGCTAGGATCTGACTTCAATTCTAATATTAAACTCCTGCATGTGAAAAGTCTAAGAAATAACTCTTAGTAAAGGTTCATTTATTCATTTTTTTCCATCTTGGCTCATCAGCTTTTAAATTATAAATTGCTTGCTTGCTTGACTTACCTTTTTGGTAGAAGCAAAAATTTGATAAACGTTTTCCCTTTAAAATAAAAATCCATTTTGTGTCATTTTTTTTTAATGAACTTTTAAAATTAACTGTGCTTACTAACTGCATGTAGTATCGTGGAAAGAATGGGAACCTTTATTTTTTACAATCTATTTCAGTCCAGAAAAATAATTGAAACATTTAGTTCATTTAGGATAACTGGAAAGTTATTTTAAAGAAGAAATATAGGGCGGTGGACAGAAATAGGATCGTTTAACTAGGTATATCCTTTACATATATTTTCACTCTTCCTGCTGTCGGCAACCAAAGAATTATGATTTTTAATGCATAGTGAGGGAACTAGACAAAAAAATGGACCTCATCCAATAAAACAAGGACATAGAATAGGATATGCAATGAAGTCATATTGCAGGGTTTGGCAAATTCAGGGAAAACCCTGCTGGCAGCTGCTTTAGTGGGCCTCAGAGCCTACATTTAGATGGAGAGAAAGGGAAGCAGAACTGGCTCCTGGACTAAATATGCTGTGGTGTGTCTTTATATGGAAGTCAGTGCTACCTAAGGGACCGCCTCTCCCCCATGACTTCAACCCATCCCACCCGTTCACACAGAGAGGGCATGCTTCGGACCCCCTCAGTAAAAGAACTCCGTCTAGCGGAGTCCAGAAAGTGGGCCTTCTCTGCGGTAGCCCCATTCTTTGGAACATTCTGCCCCGGAGGTGCGATTGGCCCCCTCACTCCTGGCCTTCTGAAGGACCTTGAAGACCTGGCTCTGTCACTTGGCCTGGGGTGGGGAGAGAATATCTAAAGCAGGGAGATGGCTAGCCCCATAGTGGCCGGCTGTCCCCGACCCGATTTTCCATCTTCTTCGATTTTTCCTTTTTTAGTATTGTTTTAATTTTATATATAGTATGTATTGTATATATATTTATAGTTTTAATGTCTTTGTAAGCCACCCAGAGTCCCCTGTTGTGGAGGAGATGGGCAGGGGAGAAATCCAATAAATAAAATAAAAAATAAATAATACCTGTATTATTTGCACATTACAATGGCTAGGGAAACTCCAACAAATACATTTATTCCACCTCAATCTCCAATGTATTCTATGAAACATAATTTATGTACTATAATGACAGGCATAAGATAAATATTTTAGAAGGTCAGTTTTGGTCATAAGCTTCATTAATCTTTATCTGAATATTTTATGTAAATCAGAGTAAAAATGAACCTGTTTTTATGTGTTATAAACTATTTTGCAATTTTTAGCTTCTGGTTTAATATATAGTATAAATATATAGTATAATTATAGTATTAATTTAATTAATTACTAATTATAGCATTAATATATAATGCCATCAGTGGGATTTGGTTGCTAACTTCTTTGATTGGTCTTGCAATCTTTACATGTCTTCTCACTGACAATGTATAAGGACATGACAATATATAATGATAAGTAAAATTATAACATCATGTCCTCTACTTAAAGGATGTATATTATAACATTATGTCCTCTACTTAGATTCCTGTTTATTCTGAATATTCGTGATTTGTTTTCTACTATCATGCACAATATTTGTTCACTACGGCCCTAACAATGCTGGGGGTTGAATTAGGACAAATGTTTTCTAATGCCACATTATCAGTCCAGATTTATGATCATTTCTGCATTTGAAAATAAATATCAAACATCAGTACATGGAAGAGTAAATTAAAGTCTAGGAAAAGCTCTACAATCAGGACATAAAGCATTATTATTTTTTAAAATATGCAATGTCAGAATAGTTTTTAATAGTTTGCTAGATTGAAAACTGATCATGTTCTGTAATGGGTTATTGGGAATGGGCTTTTGTTTACAAGAAAATAAACTACTGTAAAATTACTATTAAAGCTTCTACCTTTATATATTACTTATTACCATTATATATTATTCTACCTCTGTGTAACAATAATAGTAGCAGTAGAAAATATAGGCACATTATTTATGGGGAACGATTAAATTGGCTTGATCTACTGCAACGAATTACTGTATGTTTATTAATAATATACTTTGAAATCAAAATGTATTTTTAAACTTTGTTGCTACATGGCATCTATTATTATGGTTCTTCAGGCTGGAAGTTACAGTGCAGGACTATAATTTCTCATTTATTTTAGCCAACAACTAATTAAGTGTTTGTTTTTTATCTTACAGGTTTGAACATCAGTGATGATGGCTTAAAGGAACAGAAAAGTAATCCAACCAGTTCTGAGCCCAGTTTTTCATCTCTGGAGAGGAAAAGCTCTTTGTCAAGGTAAAGTCATTAAAGCGTTTCATTAGCAAGTTGTTTCAACTATTTGTGAGAAATGCCTCCGGGAATTTTTTGGAATGCTGACAACAATATTTTGATCTATGGGCTACAGTTCAGATTTGTGTTTTTCTAAAACAACAACTTTAAAGATGAGTACACCTTAGAAAATATTTGTACTAAAGCCAGGTATTGTTTTGCAGCTGTTGTTCTCTTATTATAAGACTCCATTGACATCTCAGTGAACCACAAATTAGCGTGTACAGCTGCTCTCAGTAGGACTACTTAGAGACCAAACAATGGAAGTTGTCAGGAAAAGGGCAGGCGTAAAACATAAAGTCTTCAAGAAATAAAGTGGTGTGTCATCTTCTGGATGGAGCTGAGGTGTAAATGAGCTTCAGTTCAATACCTGTTTTTGTATCCACTAAAATAAGCATTTGATACTAGATTATCTGTTACTTTTGTTTTGGTATTTTTAAATTGAGAGCGTTTAATTAATGCCCTTATTTTTCCTAAAGGGATGCCATTTATCTGGGTTTTTTTCCCAGTTCTTTGGGTGATTTTGTGGTACACTTTTTTTTCCTGTCAGCAGCATGATTCAAATTATTGGCAATCAAGAGGTACAAGTAAATGAAGCATAGTAAACAATTCTGGAATTTTAAATTGGCTTCAGATTGTTACATAATAATTGTCAATACACTTCCATAGCTTAGTTCTTCTTGTGCTGCTCTGTGCTGGAAAGTCTCATTTGTAATTTTTGATGTTTATGATTATGTATTAATACAGTTATACAGTGATATGTCTGTCCCTACTTAGTCATATTCATAACAGTATTTTTTTGCTTTTAAGCTTCTTTTACTATCTAATTGTGTAAAATTGGTACATGGAATAAAATTAATTGAGCAGCATAGAGTCTAAATAGTAGTGCATTTTATACACTATACAGTGCAATCATTTTCATATCTGTTTTTCAGAAAATGAAGTTGGAGAGTAATACTTTCTGAAGCTTATTTACTAAAATCAATTGGTTACATTTTCATTTTAATAAGTTATTAAAATGAAAAAATATTGTTATGAATATGACTAAGTAGGGACAGACATATTTGAAGAAATAATAGGCCAAAGAAGTGTCTTCAACTACTGTTTGCTATGAATAGGGATGTTTGTAAACACTATCAACTTTTTAAAAAATATACTGGAAATGTGGTTTGAATTATAATATAAACAAGCAGTTTCTTACACTTATTAAATTTCTGGTCATATAATGCCAATTCTCTAGCATAAAGAAGGCAAGGTGGGTGGTTTTGTGGAAAACATTTGTTTTCCTAATGGGAAAAAATCATTGCACACTACAACATGAAATAATAGTTCTTTTTAAATCAGTAACTTGCATTTTAACTTTCTCTCTAACTGGAAAATAAAGGCCTTTTAAAACCACATGGATTAGTAACACTTCCAGCCTTATACTGGACGCCTGTCTTATAAAGATGTCACAAGTACAGTGTGGGAAGAAAGTAGGAAAGAAGGGATATGACTCAGGTGCTTATTTGCAGTTCGTATACAGAGATATTTCTTACAGGCTGATGCCTGAGGATTCCACTTATTGTCACTTCCTGCACTTTATTGCCATTACAAGTGGTCTTGAAACCCAGTACTTGAAAATAAACATAACAGTCTAGTACCACTGTGGTACGTTTAATTTTTTCCCCCCTCACAGTGTTTAGTCACTGAGCTGATGAGCGACTCACGAAATACCCTGATGGACCTAATTTTTTTTTTAAATGGCTTCCACTGATGTCCTACAGACAATAATTATGATGTGCTAGTTAAGCCCAAACTACAGCTGAGGGATTTTACTTTAAAGCAGAGGCTTGGGCGCAAAAATGCATTTATAGCTCTTTGTCTGGCACCTCATTATGCGTGGGCCTGATTCATTAAGTAATTGGTTTGCAGTTGTTTACATGAGTATTAAGGCTTTTATTCAGCAGTCTTTGAGAGATACATTGTGCAAATGTTGCATGTTATGAATGCAGAATGAGGGGCAGCGGACAAGTCCTATTGGCTAAACACTGCACTCTGTTGAAAAGCAAGTAAAAGAGATTGGGTGCTGCTTTGCATAGCAATGACTTTCTTAATAAGCTTTACAGATTAATACACACAAGCTATAAAAGATGCAAAGAGATACTCTTAGCACATTTATCCATGCTCATTTCACTATTATGGCACTGGAGATGGGAAGAATTGAGTGCTTTCATATTCTTTTTTTTCCAGTGCAACTTCAGTGCATGAGACTTAATAGAATCCAATGTTTATTGTATTATAAATTGTGGGGGAAGTAGGCAGACCTGCAACAGTTTATTATTAAAGATTCTTTCAATGTAAATCTTTTCCACCATTGTGTGTCCAACAGCAAAATCATTTTGTGGTTGAGTGGGGATGAAAGGCATAATGTACGAAGGAGTGAGTCTTAATAGGAAGCTGCTCTCCGATTGAAGGCCACTTGTTCCCTTTTGTATGGAGGTGCATGCCACAGCTTCCTCTTCTCCAGCAAATATTACCCGGTTGTATCCTAGCTGAAAATCATTTTTTTGCAAGCGTTCCACTGAGTAAGACAAATACACTTAAACTAGGAGGTAAACTTTCAAACTTAATTATTACATTATTTTCAAAGGAAAGGAAAAAAATATTTAAATGAAACAAATGATCCAAGGGAAACATAGCCTTACTAGTTCTATCTTAATTATTAAACCAGTGGCCACAGTGCAATGTGTGTGGCATTGGATTGCTCTGTAGCAATACAATCAGCCAGTGGATGTCAGTAGCAGTCTGTCCTTGCAGGTTTGGGCTAGATGCAATGCCTTTTCTTAGATGCCTTTTCTTTTGCAACATTTGAATGTAAAAAATAAATTAAAGCCCAAAATATTTAAGTTGGATTCCAGAAATATGCCTTAAGATTCCAGTATATACCCATTTACCAGAAAATGTCCCATTCTTTAATAGGAATTATTTTTGAGTTTCATAAAATTCTTATCCGATTGGTTGTTTAAACTGGCTTTCTGAGCAGAAGCTTCTTTTTCTTGAAATATTTTGTTCGCTTGAGTAAATTGCTGGTTACTGATTATAGCTGTTTGTACTGATGATTTCAAATATATCCTCTGAAATATATCCTCTTCAGTTTAATCTTCACGGGTAACTACAATGACCAGTAGGGGTCACTGTTTCTTTACTAAATTAAAATTGTATTCTCAGTCTATTTCCAATTGAAATCAATTTATATTCATGAAACTATTCAAATCATTTATAATCAATGTAGTAGGTTATTCTACCTCCCCATTCCATTTGTTAGAATATAGGAAAAAGATACATTATTTTATGTAGCAATATAATGTATCACAACGCTTCTGAATATGGTTATTGAAAATTTATTTTTTTGTATCATATATGAAGTCTAAATACAGAAATAATAGGCATTTATTCTTGGAGATTTTTAAAAAATTGGTTCTGAGTGTGGCTGATGAACGAATTCAGCTTCTACTACCACCTTTTTGACTTTACCCATTCCTGTGCCAGTTCCACAGCTAGGGAAAGGAAGGTGAGCAGTAGCACAGGCTTGGAGAATCTTTGTGATATCAACAGCCACTTAACACTAGAGAAAAAAGAAATCAGAAGCCACAAGCATTACTTAACTGACTGTAATAATTAAGTAATTTTAAACTACTTGTCTTATTGGTTCTTAATTATATTACAAATTTCATAAATAAATATTTTAATATTTTGATGAATATTAAAATAGCTATCAAAAATATTGTAGATGAAAAATATTGGAGACCATTATTGGAAGGTCCTTGCAAGTGTCACATTTTCTCTACCTAGAGCTTTTGCACTATTTTCCAGTATTTATTTACCACCATTTATAGTTTGTCAATTCCCAGACAACTCTGACTTGATGATTTCACAGACTAAAAACACAATAATTTATATAAAACAATGCAAAGCAAAGCATAAAACATGACCGGCATATGAAGGAAAACCACCAAAAGACACAACATGACTCCACTGTGTCCACCACTAAAGGGAGACCTGCCTAATCCATCTAACTAGGTTTTCAAAGATCATCTGAAGGCAAAAATTGGGGACCGTGCAGATCTCTGGAGAGACGCTGTTCCTAAGGGCAGGTGCCACAACAGAAAAGAACTTCCTGGGTTCTGCTAGATGTTTATTATTTATTTGATGGGACTCGGAGCAGGGGATTCTGTGGAGCAAATAGGACAGGCGGAAACTAGAGGAAACAGGTGGTCACTGAAGTAATTAGGCCCTACACCACGTAAGGCTTTATAGGTGATTACCAGGACCTTAAATTGCATCTGAAGCCAACTGACAACCAGTGCAGCTCACGTAGTTGTATGCTGCTGAAGATAATCAAATTTATATACACTAGATGAGTCCCTGATTTTTTTTCCTGCATGCATGATTATCACTAAAATGTTAGTTCTGGAAGTGGTAGTGTGTACCTAACATATTAGTGAGAGTAGGGTTCTGTCTGGAATCTGAGGGCCAAATTATGTGATGGCAGGGTTTATGTTTCTCTCTACATAAAAATAAATAAATAAATAACAGTTGTCTAATCTTAACTTCAAAAATAAGTATACAAAAGAGGGATATTGAATCTCCTCCTACCTTATTTCTCAGTAGACCATCACCCAAGGTCATAAATAGGAAATCTGCAGCACTCCAGAGATTGCTGAATTATGACTCCCAGCTTCTCTCACTGCTGGCTTCCTAGGGATGGTGGGAGTTTAAAAGAGCAACATCTAGCATGCCAGAGACTACTAGATGCTTTTCTTCCAGCCTGTATTGAGGAGATAGATGTGAGGAATGGTTAACTCTACTTGCCTGAACACTTCTTTTAATTGAAAATCAGACACTCCATTTTCTCTTATTCACTTATTCGCACAACATGCTCGTTAACAATAACAATGGCTGCCCCCATCACACTTTGGTCACAT